CAAAAAAGTGAAATTGCGTGGTTGTTACATTTACAAGAGTCTAACTTGTAATTTGAACAAAATAATTTTATGTTTTTGTGGTAAACGTAATTATATCATGTAGGATCTACATGAAATTTAATTTATTCTTGTTGAGATGATGTGATAATATCTAGCAAGAGTGGTGAGTTTCCTGGACTCGCAATATCACAAGAAAATAGAGGTTTCAAACCACAGGAGAATCACTGGGGTTATAAGAGGCGAAAAAGCCATGTGCACGCTATGGCACAAGGACAAAAATGTAAAAATAATTCTTTATCAAGCCTAGTAATCACAGCTTTCCTATTCTTTTTTAAGTATGGATTGACAGCTATGTGGTGCAGTGGTTTGCACTGTTGTCACACAGCAAGAAGGAACTTGAGGGGTTTGACTCCATCAACTAGCCGAGGCCTTTCTCTGTGGAGTTTGCATGTTCTCCCGGTGGTTGCATGAGTTCTCTGGCTTCCTCCCACCATCCAAAGACATGCTTTTAGCGTGGTTAGGTTAACTGGTGATTCTAAATTACCCATAATTGTGAATGTGAGTGCCTCTCTGCATTAGCCCTGTGCAGTGATGGGAATAACAGCGTTACAAGTAATGGCGTTACTTTTTTCAGTAACAAATAATCTAACTAATTACTATTTCTATCGTTACAACGCAGTTACCGTTACTAACAACAAAATGCGGTATGGTCGCGTTACTATTTTTCAACAAACAGACGGTTGAAGCTGTCGTCAGTTTACCGCATCTTGTATGAGTTGCATGGAAGTAGCTGTAAGTAATCTGGGGGCTACAGCTTTAAGCAGGTGCGTGGGCTCCCTCGGGCGGCAATCACTTTCTGGCAAACAATCACTTTTTGGCACAACACCTGAAGCTAAGCGTGCAAAACAATCGCATGAGTGATGCCCTTTGACTGAGGAAGAATAAAGTAGTTGTGGTAAGCCAATCACACGGCCACTTTAAGATGACAAAGCAACAAGGTGATATAACCAGTTTTTAAATTGTGTTGATAGGCCACGTAAAACCACAGTCATAATAAACAATACAGTGGCTTGCAAAAGTATTCAGCCCCTTTGAACGTTTCCACATTTTGTCACATTACAGCCACAAACATGAATCAATTTTATTGGAATTCCACGTGAAAGACCAATACAAAGTGGTGTACACGTGAGAAGTGGAATGAAAATCATACATGATTCCAAACATTTTTTTACAAATAAATAACTGCAAAGTGGGGTGTGTGTAATTATTCAGCCCCCTGAGTCAATACTTTGTAGAACCACCTTTTGCTGCAATTACAGCTGCCAGTCTTTTAGGGTATGTCTCTACCAGCTTTGCACATCTAGAGACTGAAATTCTTGCACATTCTTCAAACAGGCAGCGCACACAGCAAGAGCTGTTTTTCAAAGCATTAATTTCTTATGATGTAAATGTATCTAAAACAGGTAGTAATGCATGTAAAACCCAAAATCAAAGTTAGGTTGCATGTGACGGAGTCACCCCGTCCCAGCTGATCTGGGCGCATACACGCACCACCACCATTAGTTTTTACAATTACCGGGGCTGCGCGGCTTTTCGGCGACCGGGCAGATAAACAAAAAGGGGTGAGAGGTATAGTTTGAGCAGCGCAGAAGGTGGCCAACGTATTTTCCCACTTACCTTCCATAAAGCCGGTCGCGGAGACTCGCTATGATCGCCGAATTATACGGGGGTTATGCAAGCCGATGGTATGGGGTTCCGGGGTTTAAATAGTGGGTTCGCGCGCGCTTGAAGAGTCACGTGAACTGCATTATTCTTTTGGTTTGTTTGGTGTTATTGTGAAACACTGTAGGCTGCCGGGAAGTGGCCATAAATGTCTGTATATACATATATGTATTGTAGGACTACAGCAGGAAATAAGCTGAGGGGGAAAGACGGTTTGATAATAATAAAGAGATGACTATTACGCCTAGTGGGAGGGGCTATGGGGTATAAGAGAAGGCGGTCAGGGCCCACCTGTTGCTTTTGCTTTCTTTCCAGTGAGCTGTTACAGAGAGGGTAACATGCAGACTGTGTTTTGTATATAGATATTTGTTTGTGCTGACTTAAGTCAGTTCTATTTCTTTGTAAATAACTTTTTGTGCACCTGGGAGGCCGGCAAAATAAATAAATTATCCACACTGAATGCTTTCCGACTACGCCTGTATTTGTTCGGAGGAAGTTTAGGAGAAGGAGCCCGCGACATTGCACTTTAAAGATATTTGTCTGATTTAGCAATTTAAATATTGGTGGAAAACCTGTTTATCAATAAACAATGTTCAGTTCATTATGATGAGCCCTCATTATTGAATTGACATTTAGTATAGACAAGTGAACACACACATGTAAATTATATGCATTAACAGATCATTAAAAGAGCGACATTAAAAGCAGTCATACTATGTAAGTAAGTAGTAAGTAAGTAAAGTTTATTTATTAAGCGCTTTTCACAGACAGGCAGTCACAAAGTGCTGTACACAAATATTAAAATAAACAATACAATCAATAGACATTATACACAATGTAAAAGATCAAATGTAAAGAATGTAAAGAATATAAAATACATAGATCAGCAAAAGGCTTGTTTGAACATAAATGTTTTTAACTGCTTTTTAAAACAATCCACAGAGTCAAGCAAACATAATTGTAGCGGTAAACTATTCCACAGCCTTGGTGCAACAGACTGAAAGGCTCTGTCCCCTTTTGTCTTCATTCGTGTACGGGGAACAACCAACAGACTGAGTCTGTGAGCGGAGATGACGAGCAGCAGTGTATTTTTATTTTTATTTTACTTTATTTTTTTAAGAAGCTTGGATAAATAATCTGGGGCCTGGCCATTTAGTGCTCTGTATGTTAAAACAAGAATTTTAAAGCGAATTCTAAACTCTATTGGAAGCCAATGTAAAGAATATAAGACCGGAGTAATGTGAACACGCTTGATAGAACGAGTTTGTCTGGCTGCTGCGTTTTGTATTGCCTGGAGGCGAGAGAGAGATATCCAAGGTAGTAAACAGGGACTTACATTAATCTAAGCGTGATGACACAAATGCATGAATGAGTTTTTCCAGTTCAGCTGAATAGACCACATGTCGCAGTTTAAAGATGTTTCTTAAATGATAGAAACAGGAACGACACAAAGATTTTACATGGGAGTCAAGGCCCAGACAGGAGTCAAATATCACTATGCTATGATAACAACTTGTCAGACGTGAATTTACAAAGATAAGACCTCCATTGCTTTGGTGATTATTTTTCTATGAAGTGAGGAGCAGGAAATTTCATTTTTGTGTGCCGTAAGAGTCATCCCATGGTAGCTTTTAATACATCAGTTGGGGGAAAACTCTCCATTAATTTTAATATACTGTAACTAAGCATTTATGGTGAAAATAACGACGTTTTTGAATGCTGTCTAATTTAAATCATCTTTTGGTTCATCAAATGAGAGAAGGACTTTTATTAGTTAGAGTAACAACTGTCTGTTTCATAAGCATCACAGTTTACATTTTCCAAAACAAAGACGAACTGCACTTAAACATAGGTAATGGTAATTTTAAAATACGGGAATAAAAGACAGAAATGCCCCCCAGATATACCACTGTGTCTGTTAATGCAAGGCTAGATTTTCATGATGTTTCACGCAACAGTTAAGCCATTCAAGGATGCTGCATTTTTGATAACAATGGAATAAATGTAATTGTTTTCCTGCACTTGTATTTCAAATGTAAATTAGCTATTGATGGTTTGCAAATAGCCATGTCAACAACATGAGGCAGGAAGCAGTGTAGAGACTTGTCTTGTGGCTCAATCCTCCTGAAGCTGGAAATGAAGAGAAAAAGCAATGAGAAAATCTTAGCTGATTTAGCTGATTTAAATGTAACACTTATCATTTCAATTAGTCTATCTTACATGTGTTTCCAGATATACGTGCTTCAATAGTTGTTGTCGTTCTCACAGTGATTGTTGTTTCTGCAGTAGCTGCTGAAGAAGGAAGTCTTGCACTTTCCACTATTGTTGTTGTAGATGTGTATGACACCATGGTGGTTGCTGTAGGAACCTGTGCCATAGTAGCCACAAAAGTGGCTGGTTCAAGTACTGTTGTTGCTGAAGTATTAGTTGTAGCAGATTTCACGGTCACTGCAGTTGTTGTTTGAATAGTTTTTTCTGTTGTTGTAGAAATTATGGTCGTAGTTGTCACAGTTATTGATGCTGGTTTTGAAGGGGTAGCAGTTGATGTCATAGTGCAATTAGGAGTTGGTGTAGCAGGTGTAACACTGACTGGAACAATAAAATATTTATCAAAAATAGATTAATATATATCTATGTACAACCTAAACTATTATCTTTATCCTTCATGAATGTCAAAATAACTTTTGGTTACATTTTCAAATACTCACCAGAAGTTACTGATATAGTGTCAGGAACTATGGCAATACTGAAATTGCTGCTGGAACTGTTAATAGCCTTTTTCATAGTTTGAATAATAGTAGTATTATTTGGGACTTGTGCATTGGGTGCTGTTTGATTGAACACAAGCTCCACCTGTGTCTCAGTTCTATCCACTCGTGTTTGGACTCTAACAAGACTGTGCCATGAAACAAAGTGAGTCAGATGTTAGATAATGATTGCAGATTATTGAACGGTTTAACTATGGTGCATGGCACTTTTAACATTCAAAATTAAATTAAAATAATAATTTAGAGGAAAGTAACTTAATCACTGTTAAAAACATGTTTTACCTGAACCGAATGACAATGGCACGGATGAAGAAAATAAATTTTGATTTGTAGATTCTATCACACTGCAAAAAATTAACACAAAAAGAAAATTTAAACATGGTGAAACAACTTAAAAATTACATTGTCTAAAAATGCCTATTCAAATGAAATAAAATGTATGATTTCAGATTTGTTCTCTAGATAAAGTGTCAGTCATTAAAAGATATATTAAGTTGAAATATTACTCACCGTCTCTTCAACTCGTATTTTGCGATCTTGATATACACTGCTGGTGGGGTCTGTGAGTTCAGGTACATATGGTTCAAGGAACTGTAGAAACAGAAAAACTTGGACAGGTGCAGTCGGAGCTTTTGTAATTGTGATAGTTGTTGGAGTAGCTGTAGTCCCTGATGTTGTTGTGTTTGTTGTTGGGATCACTGTGGTAGATTTAAAATGAGGACAAAATGGACATAAAACATTTAACTAAGTCCTTCTAAAAACTTTGAGACTTTTTGATCAAACATCACAAAATGTTACTCACATGTGGCACTGACAGTGATGGAGGCCCTTTCGATGTCAAAGCCTGTCACGTTTGATGCTGTACTGATCAAAACATTTCTAATTTCAGTGTAATTTGGAGCAGATGAGTTTACAAACTTAAGTTCTATGGTGTTGATGACTGATCCTTGCCTGTAAATGCAGAGACAAAAAGGATAGTTTTGAATATTTAGGGCATTAGGTCAGTGCTCTTAACAGTATATGTCAAAATACTGAAATTACCTGAAGCTCACAACAGCCAAGGAGACAAAGGAAGAAGGGAACGAGTTTTTGTAAGCAGGTTCAATCTACAGACACAAAGCAGATTTTCTTAAAATCACATTTATCTGTTTGTGTACGTGATATATATTATATGTTAAAATACATTAACAGAAGATTATTTAAAGGAAAAAGCTGAGGTCTTGACCCTTACAGAGAGTAGCTCTGGTAGATCACAGAGCTAACACAGACAGAGACTGACAACCATTCACGCTCATATTCACAAATGTCATGGCAAAGACTGTCAATAAAGTTTTGTAATGTGTGTAGAATTTTGAGGTGAAAATGAATATAATCCATTTTGGAATAAGGCCGTAAAATGACAAATAAAATGGAACAAGTCAAGTGCTGTGAATCATTTCAAGATGCACAGTATGGGCAATTAAGAATCACCAGTTAATCTAATTGCACTAACATGTCTTTCTGTGGGAGGATGCCAGAGCACCTGGAGAAAACTCATGTTAAAATGGAGAAAACATGCAATTTCCACACAGAAAGACCCAAGATTCAAACTCAGGACCTTTTTGCCGTGAAATAACAGTGCTTACCACCAAGCGACCATTTTAAATTTAAGTAGTTAAATTACTGCGTGCAGTTTTGCAGTGATTCTTCCTTATTCGGTGAGATAAATTTAGTGTGTTTGGTGGAATAAGTGCTATAAACTCAGGTTCAATACATGAGGTGAAGATGCGAAAGACAGTAGACAGGTGAGTGAAAGAGAATCTGTATCTGGATTCATTAAACTTCATCACTGAAAATCTTTGTTCAAATATGAAGACATATTCAGTGAGAACAAGCCTTAAGGCCACTCTTAACAAAGTTTAAGAGCTTGTCTCCTTTGAGAGGAGAAAAAAAATCCAGCAATAATACTGACTTCAAGTAAAAAAGACTGTAGGTAAATGAGCTAAACACCGCTGGATGAATTATCCATCCCTGGATGTGTAAAGCTTGGCAAAAAGGTTTTCCAAGTTTTATAACCTTGGTAGCAAAAGTTCTCCTCTTGACTTGTTCCTGCTCTTAATCAGTCAAATTCTTGTACTTGTCTGAGTATTTAGGGTTTAAAAAAAATGTAAACTATATTCTTTAAACAGAATTCTTTCTTCTTTCTATTAGATAAGAACACGACTTTGCCTTCAACGTCAATGACAAATGCTTAGAAGTCCATTCTGCATTGTTCTTCCTTTAGTGAACCCTCATGAATTAGGGAATTTTGTTCAGTGTGAGCTGACAGTGAGAGCTGTGTTTGAAGTACTTAAAACACGTTTCTGCTGGAGCTGCATGTGCCTTTAAAAAATGCAGTGAACAATCAGTTCAAAAGCATATTGAAGTACTTTTAGCACCATATAGTGGCCTGATGCCTTGCATCAATTTGTCATGTAGCTGTAGTTTGAAATTCTAATTCATTCATTCATTCAGGACAGTTGTCCTGGCACTTAGTTCTCATGGGAATTTTTGCATTTTTTCCTAAGACTTTGCACTTATTCTATATAAATTAAGTTGTAATTTTTTACCACCTTCACGTGAAAAAAATGAGAAGAAATATGTATTTGAATATTTGCATTACCTTAATGATCAGATAAACTCTTGTACACTAACTTTATAGATTCTTGGGGAAAAGAAAGACTTACCTGCACCTTTATTGATGAAGATCGAGTTTGAAAAACTTCAGATGATGAATTCAACAAGTCTGCTGTAAAATTGCTTTGAATGGATCTGAAAACAACATATCTAATTGTCAGAGGTCCGGTGGTTGTGGCTGCAGATGTGGTTGTTTTTCCTGTTGTTGTGTTAGTTAGAGCAGGTGTGGGACTACTTAGAGCGGTTGTTGGAGGTGCTGTGGTATTTGTTGGAACTGCTGTGGTAGTTGTTGGAGCAGATGTTGTTGTGGGTACTACTATAGTAGTTGTAGCTGTGGTGGTAGTTGTGGGAGCAGATGTTGTTGTTGGTACTACTGTGGTAGTTGTAGCTGTGGCGGTAGTTGTGGGAGCGGATGTTGTTGTTGGAGCTGCTGTGGTAGTTGTTGGAGCAGATGTTGTTGTGGGCACTACTGTGGTAGTTGTAGCTGTGGCGGTAGTTGTGGAAGCGGATGTTGTTGTTGGAGCTGCTGTGGTAGTTGTGGGAGCAGATGTTGTTGTTGGTACTACTGTGGTAGTTGTAGCTGTGGCGGTAGTTGTGGGAGCGGATGTTGTTGTTGGAGCTGCTGTGGTAGTTGTTGGAGCAGATGTTGTTGTGGGCACTACTGTGGTAGTTTTAGCTGTGGCGGTAGTTGTGGGAGCGGATGTTGTTGTTGGAGCTGCTGTGGCAGTTGTTGGAGCAGTTGTTGTTGTGGGCACTACTGTGGTAGTTGTAGCTGTGTGGTAGTTGTGGGAGCAGACGTTGTTGTTGGTACTACTGTGGTAGTTGTAGCTGTGGCGGTAGTTGTGGGAGCGGATGTTGTTGTTGGAGCTGCTGTGGCAGTTGTTGGAGCAGATGTTGTTGTGGCACTACTGTGGTAGTTGTAGCTGTGGCGGTAGTTGTGGGAGCGGATGTTGTTGTTGGAGCTGCTGTGGTAGTTGTAGCTGTGACGGTAGTTGTGGGAGCGGATTTTGTTGTTGGAGCTGCTGTGTTAGTTGTTGGAGCAGATGTTGTTGTGGGTACTACTGTGGTAGTTGTAGCTGTGGCGGTAGTTGTGGGAGCGGATGTTGTTGTTGGAGCTGCTGTGGTAGTTGTTGGAGCAGATGTTGTTGTGGGCACTACTGTGGTAGTTGTAGCTGTGGTGGTAGTTGTGGAAGGAGATGTTGTTGTTGGAGCTGCTGTGGTAGTTGTTGGAGCAGATGTTTTGTGGGTACTACTGTGGTAGTTGTAGCTGTGGTGGTAGTTGTGGAGCAGACGTTGTTGTTGGTACTACTGTGGTAGTTGTAGCTGTGGCGGTAGTTGTGGGAGCGGATGTTGTTGTTGGAGCTGCTGTGGCAGTTGTTGGAGCAGATGTTGTTGTGGGCCCTACTGTGGTAGTTGTAGCTGTGGTGGTAGTTGTGGAAGGAGATGTTGTTGTTGGAGCTGCTGTGGTAGTTGTTGGAGCAGATGTTGTTGTGGGTACTACTGTGGTAGTTGTAGCTGTGGTGGTAGTTGTGGGAGCAGATGTTGTTGTTGGAGCTGCTGTTATAGTTGTTGTTGGTGCTGCAGTGATAGTTGAAGCTGTTGTTGTTGGAGCTTCTGTGGTTGTGGTTGCAGCTCCTGTAATTGTCATTGGCGTAAAAATGGACATTGTTCCTGTATAGGTGTTAGATGTAAATGAAAAATCACAGGAATATCACAGGAATGATTGTTGCTATGTTTGTATATGCCGCCATCTTACCCATTAAAATCAAGAACATAGATATAAACCATTTAACAATCATTCTGCTTTCCATTTAACCTGTAAAATTAAACAGTACATTTATTCACCATGTGAAAACAATTCAACACATCAAATTTTAATCTATAACTCACATAATGTATTTATTTAAATAAAATAAATACTAATAAACTGGCTGCTCATTTATTCTCAGGAGATCACATAAAATCCTTTTAACATGAAATCCTTGATCACAAAAACGAAGAACACAAAAACTTTCATGCTGGATTGCACATATATGAATATATATAAGTTGTATCATAGAAACATCAATATCAGTTGATAATCTCATGCAAAGAGAGCAAAATTTGGGAGTTTCTAGATTGCGGCCCAACTCTAAATAAGTAATTTTCTTAAATATGTGAAATAATAAGAAATTTACTTACCTGAAATGAGAATATATATTGAAAAGTTACTGATTCGCATCTGATGTTTATCTATGATATGTCTATATTGCAACCCTTTTACCTTATGCAACAGTCCACATGGATATGTTGAATCGAAAAGCTGAAGGACCTTAATGAAGAACAAATATACTGCCTGTCAATATATATTGGCTTTGTCCATTACCATACACCCTTCTTTTGTTCTATGAGTCAGTGGTGAACTTTGTATCACAAAAGAACTTCTTTGTTAGTGATAATAAATATAAATAATTCTAACCTTGAGCTGTTATTCAAAGTAGTTATTTGTAAGTCATGCAAATCTATTTAAATACTGAATCCATTTCGGGTCAACAGGTAGTGAAGCTTGCTAAAATTCAATTTCAATGTTGGATTACGTTTCAAGGAAGTTTGTTTCAATGAGCAATTTTAAAATACTGTGCAATTTAAATCTTTTGTTCATCACATAAGAAAAAGGACTGTAATATGTTAGAACTACAACTAACTGCTTCACCAGCATCACAATTTACATTTTACATTTTCAAAACAAAGGCAAACTGCATTGAACCATGTTTAATAGTAATATAAGCAGATGAACTCGTAATATTCATATAAGGAGCAGATATATGTGCTTCGATAGTTGTTGTCGTTCTCACAGTGATTGTTGTTTCTGCACTAGAAGAAGGAAGAAGGAAGTGTTGCATTTGTTGCATTTTCCACTATTGTTGTTGTAGGTGTGTATAACATCATGGTGGTTGCTGTAGAAGCTTGTGCCATAGTAGTCACAAAATTTGCCGGTTCAAGTACAGTTGTTGCTGAAGTATTAGTTGTAGCAGCAGGTGTCACAGTTACTGCAGTTGTTGTTTGAATAGTTTTTTCTGTTGTCATTGTATTGGCGGTCATAGCTCTCACAGTTACTGATGCTGGTTTTGAAGGGGCAGCAGTTGTTGTCATAGTGCAATTGGCAGTTGGTGTCAGTGACGTTGTTGTGACAGTGACTGGAACCACTTTTTCAAAAATGGATTAACATATATATTTGTGTACAGATGATGTTTTATTAGCTAATAATGTCTTGAACTACTAGAAACTACCACAACTTTGTTACTGTAAAATACATCACTAACACTTACAAATGGTGGAGTCATCAATTGTCATCTTAGAGTAAAGGTGTATGTGTGTGCACCTGAAAATGACGGTGGAAAGCCACAATAACCACACAATAACCACAAGAAGCTCCCCAGAAGCCAGGGGTAGACAGAGATGTATCCAGGACAACCAGGCCATTGGCAGCCCCCAAGAGTACTGAGGACCTAAGGCCAAACATCATGGCGATATCAATGGTAAACCTTATGATTTTGTTCATTCGTGGAGACTTAAGAAAACCACTTAAGAATGAGGTCAGTAGGCTTTGATCTGGTAAGAGGCATAAAGATTCAAAGTGATCCAAAGATCCAAAGTGCCATCCATCCATTTTTTGCCAGTTATCAGTGTTCGGGTGGCAGGACTAGCAGTCTGAGAAGAAAAGCTCAGATTTCCCTCACCCCAGCAACCTCTTCCAGCTTATCTGGGGTGGGGGGGGGACCCCAAAGATGTTCTTGTGAGTCCTGAATCTGCCTGGTGCCTTCTCTTGGTAGGACGTCCCCAGAAGACCTCACCTAGGAGGCATCCTAATCAGATGCCTGAACCACCTCATACGGCTCCTTTTGATGAGAGGAACAACCTCTCTAGTCTTAGGCCTTTTCGAATGGCCTAGGTCTTCACCACATCTCTTAGGGAGAGCTCAGCCATTAAAAGAAAGGAACTAATTTCTGCCACTTGTTTTTCCAATCTCATTCTTTTGGTCACCAACCAGCGCTCATCAGTATAGATGAAGGTAGGAACAGAGACTGACCACTAAATCATCAGCGTCACTTTTACATTCAGCTCTCTTTTCACCACAATAGATCAGTAGATCAAGAGTGATTCCATTCAATACAATTTTAATTCAAGCTTAAAGGAGCTTCATGTTGTAAGGCAGACCCTACAGTAATACAGCAAAAATTCCAACAATCAAACCCCCTGTGAGCAAGGTCTTGGTGGGAAGTGGGAAGCAAAAACCCTCTTTTAACAGGAAGAAACCTCCTCTACCATGACCAGTTGGGGGTGAGGGGAGTGACACAGAACAAAGACACACTGTGGTACAGAGCCAGAGGCTAATATTAACTAATGCAAAGAAATTAGATGCAAAGAGCTGTATAAATACATACCAAGTAAAAGAAGGAAAGTGCATCATGGGAAACCCAGCAGCCTAGGCCTATAGCATTGTAAATAATGGAAGGGTCCCCTGATCCAGCTGTAACAATGTGCTTTATCAAAAAGGAAAGTTTTAAGCCCAACCTTAAAAGTAGAGGGTGTCTCTCTCCCTCACTCTCTCTAATCCAAACTTGGGGTTAGTACCACAGAAGAGAGGCCGGGCTCTGCCTTCCATTCTAATTTTAAATAACTTACCACAAGTAAGCCAGCAGTCTGAGAGTGCTCTAATGGAGTGATATGGTACTATGAGGACTTTAAGATAATATAGCGAGTGATTATTTAAGATGTATGTGAGGAAAAAGAATTTTAAATTCATGTCTGGATTTAACAATGACCCAGTGAAAGAAGCCAGAATCAGTGAAATATGCTCTCTCTTTCTAGTCACTGTCAGTAGTCTCAATGCAGCATTTTGGACTAACTGAAGGTTTTTCAGGGAATCTTTTGAGTTATTCCTGTCCATGCTGTGTCCTGCATTTGGGTCCAATCCTACCTGCCACGGCACTTCACATGCAGGGATTTGCTCAAGTCTATTCTCTGGTGTTAAGTTTGTGGTGTTCCAGTAATTTATTTACTATTTTAGTTTGTTATTTATTTCCCTAATGAGTTCTCAGTGGGACTGAAGGATAATTAGAGTAATGAAACACAGTTTAGTCAGGGCCTTGTCTTTGTGCTATGTGTTTATGAAGGTGTCTGTTTGTTACCTTTGTGTGTTCCCATGCCATTTGGGTTCCTTGTTGTTTTTGCCTCAAGGACTTCATACTGCTGGTACTACTTGTCTCCCACCATTAAAAAGTACACTTTAAGTTTATCTGCATGTTTAATTTTTAAATCATATTGATCTCTTCAGTGGTCTTTCATGCCATTTCTTGACTTTTCTTTAGTTTGATCATGATTTAGATGTCCCATTTCTCTCTTAAAAAATGGGAAAAAATATATATACATATCATCATAAAATGAAAATGACTGTTTCTGACCCCCTCGCTGTAGAGCGAAGTTCTCTGTTCTCAGTTACTAATCTTCCCTTTTTTGCTTTTTTACAACATACCTCTGCAGTTCACTTGATATCATGAGTGGTCTTCTTGCCCCATCCAAAAAAAGATAGCCTTGTGTTTGTGCTTGTTTTTGCTCTACAGTTGCCCTTAACTAAGCGATTTAAGGCAACTAATAGAAGGCCCTGAAGTCAATAATCAATAGTAATCTACAAAGCAGCATTACATGTCTGAATACTTTTGGGTGTATGTTTTATCTTTATCATCCTGAACAACACTGACAGTACTGAGTAGAGTTTAAATAAAGAGAAACAGAGCTCAATTCTCTGTATAAATCTTCAATTTGTTTAATGCAACCAGTTTCAGTATATCATGACAGATTTTTTCTTTAGAAGGAAAAAGGAATTATTACATTGATGTAGTCTATACATTTTGGGGGTTTTTTATTCCTAATTTGCGTAACCTACTTGTATTTTTTATTATTACTATGCTGTATTATAATTATACAAAATAAATGCAAAGTTGCACACACTATCACACGATTTAAACATATGAAACATGATTGGGTAATCATACAGGGCGTTATTCACATAGCTTATGTTTCAGGAATGCCACAGTCAGTCAAACTGTCCATTTGATGGAGGAGCAGTGCGGTGACGAGGAGTGTGACGATTACATATCACAAATTCTTCTCCCGATTTCATAGGGTATTACTCATTAATGACACACGTTACACACATTACCCTTTCAGTGGATAAAGTTATTCCCATCATAGATGGGATTCCATCTCCTACTTAAATATGCAATCATGATGAAGTAGATGCATTTTTAAAAATATGCTTCATTATTATTGTGTGTGTTACCCAATTTAGTATCTAATTCTTGCGAAGCCATTCTTTGCACTTTACCAGAAGGTCCTCTTGGATTTTCAATGTGAACAACGTCCCTTTTTCATAGCCAATCACAGCAGACATTTCCAAAAGGAATTCCACAAGAGCATCAGGACATGTTATTGGTGGCCTGACATGAGCCATGACAGCAGCACCATACAGGATGCAGTGAGTAGACTGCTCTTGTGGATCACTCCGCTATTTACCTCTGTAAATGGGAAGGGGGAGAAAAGTCTTTAACAAATGGTTCTAAGATATTGCAATTCCTTTTTAATATGATTGCATTAAAAATTGCTTACTTGTGCCATTGACAACAACACTGGTAGGGTCAATGTTGAAGGCTGTTATGTTTGAGGCAGCATTGATTAAAACAATTCCAATGTCAGTTATATTAGGGACCCCTGAAGATGGAAATCCAATGTTCATTTCATTGATAATTGATCCACTTCTGCAAAATGAATAAATAAAAATATTGTGTTATTTTCATAATTGTATTAATATTATTATTGTTGTTGTTATTATTGTTGCATTTGTAAATTTCCATCCGTATATAAAACAGGAATTACCTGAATAAAGTCACTGTCAGTGACCGGAATGAGTTCAATCGTTGTATATAAAACGGTGTAAGCTGCAAAAACACAAAATATTCTCTGAATACATGTGCTATATTGTTAGGTTTTGCATTTATTTATTTTCCAAAACAAACACTGAATTATAATGCAATATGTAACTTTATGCAATAATATATAATTTTATCAACTGTTCATACAATTTCCATTTCGTTGGTCACATATTGAATCCATTTCCCTTTTCATTTTACTGATAAAAGCAGACAGGACTTGTCAGAAGCACTCACATTTTTTAACATAGAAAATTAAATTTGTTTGCACATTTGTTTTTACTGTGAAGATCATGCAAATTTTTCTAATTTTCACTATCCAATCAGGTTCCAAACTATGATGGGAAATTTACTACACTTGTATTTCAAAAGAAAATTCTAAATATTTGTAAAGAAGATGAAAAATACAAAGAAATCTATCATTATGCACATATACTGCAATACTATAATAGCTCGTGTTTTCTTTTTTTTAATAATATGCATATGTTTGGGTATGACATTTTAAGATGGATACTTACTGTTGTTTCTATGAGCATGCTTCGATTTCTAAATGCTGTAGATGTAGAATTCGCCAAGTCTTGTGTGAATGTTTCATTTGAGGTGAATGTAAGCTTTACTTCTGTTACTGGCTCAGCTGTTGTAATTGTTACAGGTGTAGTGGTTGTAGGAGTCGTTGTGGTTGTGGTTGTGTTTGTAGTATTCATTGTCGTTGCAGTGTTTACAGGTGTAGTTGAAGCTGTTGTAGGCACCGCAGATGTATTTGTAATAGGTGTGGTGTTTGTAACATTTGCTGTGATTGCATTTGTAACTGCAGTCATCATTGGTGTTGTAGCGCTCACAGTTGTAGTTGAAGCTACTGTTAAATGCCAAGAAAAGAAAACAAGCCGATGGTTTAACAAAAAGTTTTAAGATATTGTGAGTTTAAAGTATAATAACATGAAATATTGCTTACCTATTTCACGGACAACCACAGAGTTTGTGGTAATGTTGAAGGCTGTTATATTTGAGGCTGAATTGATCAAAACATTTGCAATATCAGTTGTATTCGGCACAGCTGAAGATCCAAACTCAATCCTTATGTCACTGATAATTGATCCACTCCTGCAAAATGAATAACCAAAAATATTGTTTTATTTTCATTACTGTATGACACATACTGTTAAAAATTAATCTGTATATAAAAAGGGAATTACCTGAATGAAGTCACTCTCAGTGACCGGAATGATTTAAATGTTGCCTTGTAAAAAGGTGTAAGCTGCAGAAAAACAAAATAATCTCGGAATATATGTGCTATATTTTTAGGGTTTGTGCTTCTTTATTTTCCAAAGCAAACATTGCATTTACGCTGCAATAAGTCATTTGCCAAGTTTGTTTACAATTCATAGAATTTCAGTTTCTTTGGTTACATATTGAATCTGTTTCTTTTTTAACTAAATATTTTTAATCTTTGAAAAAACTCAACAACACAGAAATGCTAATAAAAGCATACCAATTTGCAGGACTTTTCAAAAGCATTCAAATTTAAAACATGATCCAGTAATACAAAGTTATATGTGCATGCACATTTGTTTATACTGCTGTAATCATGTGAATAATTCCAGTTGTCTCTTGCTTACTCTATGCAATCATATAGAGGTACATGTAATGTCACACTAAAATTACTTTTTTTTTTAAAGTTATGTGTGTATGTGCATGCATATGTTTGGGTATGAAACTTCAAAAGGATACTTACAGCTGTCTCTACAAGCGTGCTTCGACTTGCAAATTGTGGAGAGTTAGAATCCGCCAAGGCTGGTGTGAAGTTTTCATTTGAGGTGAATGTCAACAATAGTCCTGTTACTGGTTCAGCTGTTGTAGTTGTTACAGGTGTGGTGGTTGTAGGAGTCGTTGTGTTTGTGTTTGTAGGTGCAGTCATCATTGGTGTTGCAGTGTTTACAGGTGTAGTTGAAGCTGTTGTAGGCACCGCAGATGTATTTGTAATAGGTGTGGTGTTTGTAACATTTGCTGTGATTGCATTTGTAACTGCAGTCATCATTGGTGTTGTAGCGCTCACAGTTGTAGTTGAAGCTACTGTTAAATGCCAAGAAAAGAAAACAAGCCGATGGTTTAACAAAAAGTTTTAAGATATTGTGAGTTTAAAGTATAATAACATGAAATATTGCTTACCTATTTCACGGACAACCACAGAGTTTGTGGTAATGTTGAAGGCTGTTATATTTGAGGCTGAATTGATCAAAACATTTGCAATATCAGTTGTATTCGGCACAGCTGAAGATCCAAACTCAATCCTTATGTCACTGATAATTGATCCACTCCTGCAAAATGAATAACCAAAAATATTGTTTTATTTTCATTACTGTATGACACATACTGTTAAAAATTAATCTGTATATAAAAAGGGAATTACCTGAATGAAGTCACTCTCAGTGACCGGAATGATTTAAATGTTGCCTTGTAAAAAGGTGTAAGCTGCAGAAAAACAAAATAATCTCGGAATATATGTGCTATATTTTTAGGGTTTGTGCTTCTTTATTTTCCAAAGCAAACATTGCATTTACGCTGCAATAAGTCATTTGCCAAGTTTGTTTACAATTCATAGAATTTCAGTTTCTTTGGTTACATATTGAATCTGTTTCTTTTTTAACTAAATATTTTTAATCTTTGAAAAACCTCAACAACACAGAAATGCTAATAAAAGCATACCAATTTGCAGGACTTTTCAAAAGCATTCAAATTTAAAACATGATCCAGTAATACAAAGTTATATGTGCATGCACATTTGTTTATACTGCTGTAATCATGTGAATAATTCCAATTGTCTCTTGCTTACTCTATGCAATCATATAGAGGTACATGTAATGTCACACTAAAATTACTTTTTTTTTTAAAGTTATGTGTGTATGTGCATGCATATGTTTGGGTATGAAACTTCAAAAGGATACTTACAGCTGTCTCTACAAGCGTGCTTCGACTTGCAAATTGTGGAGAGCTAGAATCCGCCAAGGCTGGTGTGAAGTTTTCATTTGAGGTGAATGTCAACAATAGTCCTGTTACTGGTTCAGCTGTTGTAGTTGTTACAGGTGTGGTGGTTGTAGGAGTCGTTGTGTTTGTGTTTGTAGGTGCAGTCATCATTGGTGTTGCAGTGTTTACAGGTGTAGTTGAAGCTGTTGTAGGCACCGCAGATGTGTTTGTTATAGGTGTGATGTTTGTAACATTTGCTGTGATTGTGTTTGTAACTGTAGTCATCATTGGTGTTGTAGCACTCACAGTTGTGTTTGAAACCACTGTAAGTGCCAAAAAAACAACAACAAAGAAAACAAGCCTATTTGAACAAACAGTGTTAAGGTATTGTGACTTTCAAGAACAATAACATGAAATATTGCTTACTGATTAAAGGTGTGGTTGTTGTAGGAGTCGTTGTGTTTGTAGGTGCAGTCATCATTGGTGTTGCAGTGTTTACAGGTGTAGTTGAAACTGTTGTAGGCACCGCAGATGTGTTTGTTGTAGGTGTGGTGTTTGTAACATTTGCTGTGTTTGTGTTTGTAGATGCAGTCATCATTGGTGTTGTAGTGCTAGTAGTCGAATTTCCAGATGTTGTTGGAACTCCAGTTGTTGTGGCAGTAACTGCTGTGCTCACAAGCTTTATTACCACTGTATGCAAAAATCACAACAATAAAGGCTTTTTATAAAGCTTTCTTTTGTATTTGTATTTTATTTTATTTTTTAATAAAGGAGTAACTTACCTATAAATGTCAATAAAGCTTTAAAGATTTGTTTGTTACCCATTGTGGCTGGCTCTTGAACCTGTAGTATTTGACAGTACAAGTATTTACACAGCAATAAACAACAACAAAACAACAAACATATTAATGTACTTTCAAATCTATAGATATATTTATATTAGTTTTAAGCACATGTTAACCTTTTCCTTATTTAGGCTATTTGCAATTCAGTTTGCTTTTCGAAAATCAAAACTAATTTGTGCTGCTGTTTTGGACTATGTTGGTCAATGCTAAAAAGAAAGAATTAACATCACCAAAACCCTCAACTGCTATCATTAACTATAACACTACACTTATTTGCCCTGATTATGAAATCTAATCCTGTTACTGATAATTATTCACTTTTAAAATACTATTAAAGATACTGGTTCTGTTTTTCTGTAGCATGACTAGAACAAAAAAAAAAACTAAACAATTTCTTAAACTGCATTTCATAAAAAAGAAAAGAAAAGAAAAAATCATGAGCAAAAATAACATAAATAAATAGCAATAATCTGTTTTATAGATACAATTAGAAACACTTGAACTCCCTGTATATGGACTATATATGAAGCAATGCACTTACCCTGAGCAATGGTCTAATGTGAAAGCAACTGCTTCGGGTGACTGCTCCCTGTTCTTGTATGATGCCACTAATTTATTCAGGTTTTATATCTGTTCCTCTGAGCTTATGACACGTCAGTGAAATATGAAACAAAAGCATTTACTTCCTGAATAACTGATTCATTGCCAATCCAGAGTTCTGTGGTTCATTCCTTTCACATGACTTAACCAGATGTCATTAGCTTAGCGGTTGAACAGGCAGGGCTGCAATTCTTCAAACTCAATCTGTTAGAGCAGGTTCTGCTCTTTGATTGTGTGATTTTCTTTTTCACACAGACGAGTGTAAACATCTATCATAAATTGAATTTTGATTTGAAATCCACTATGGGAGCAAAGCTGCAAAACTTGTTACTCCTTCCATTACATTCATGTGGTTCTGCTACGCCCACTGTCTACTGACATTCACATCAAACCTGGTCTTTTCTTTTTCTTTGTTTCCTTTGGGTTTTTCCTTCTTTGCTCCTTGTTTACTGTGCATTAGTTTTGTTTTGTTTTTTGTCTTGTAGTATTTTATTATTTCAGTGGTGGGTGTGCCATTTACTTTAAAAAGATGACGCCACATGTGGAAAACTAATGCCACGTGTGGCGATGTGGAGACTACACTTTAGATGTTCCATTTGTTTGTGAATCAAACAAATGTATATTGTGTACTCCAAACATGCCTGACATTTACCTGCATACTATTTGGTACTGCACCTCAGTTAGACACTTTTGAAGTCAAATTACAGGTCGCCTTTCACACTTTTTGAGCTGCTGGATGCCAGTGTACCTGTAACTCTATATCTCAGTCAGCTTATCATCTGTGCAAGGTCTACCTACTTATTTTCTCTGTACAGCTCTTACTATTCCTAAGAATGTCACCTGTTATGGTCCGTGGGAGTGGCAGGGTTTTTCCACTGTGTGTCATGTCTCCTCCTCTGTGCAGAGCTGTCCTTGTTCTCTCTCGTGAGCTGCACCTGGAGCTGATTAACGCAGCAGCATTTAAATCCAGCTTTGACAACTACCTTTCACCAGAACGTCAGCTAACCAGCGTTAGCATCAGGCGATTCATGTATTTTGCTATCTTTGTGCTTAGACTCACCTTGCTTTCTCTTGTCTCTAGTTTTATCCACTGACATTCTCTCCACGAGTGCACAGTTCCTTTCAACCCGGTCGCTTGACCTACCTGCCCAATCTCAGCCATAGCTCTGGTAAGGTCTCGACTTACATTCTCACCTGCCTGCCTCCCTGTTGAACTCACGGATCATCTCAGATTGGATCAATTGCACACTCACTTGCACATTCTGTCAGGGGCTGGGTCTGTGACCCACCGTTTTCTGTTGTTTTTTATTTTTTGTATTTTTCTGTATTAATATAATGTCACATTCATGTACTATTCTTTTTTTTATGTTTATTTATAAGATTTTAAGACATAAAATCACACCAGACAAAGGAAGCAATGATATCTAAGCACGAAAAGAAAGACAAAAACTAAAACTAAAAAACACACACAAAAAAAACCAAAAAAACCCCAGAACAGAACAGAACAGGAAAACAATAGAATAGAATAGAATTAAAATAGAATTCAACTTTATTGTCATTGCACATGTTACAGGTACAGGGCAATGAAATGCAGTTTGCATCCATCCAGAAGTGCTTTAGCCATGATAGAGATATATTACAATATATATTAGAGATATTACAGATATGTAAGTATATTACAGAAATGAGTCTATTATGGTATGTTATAATGTACACGGTATGAAGTATGTTATGAATATTCTATAACTATAAGTATGTACAGGCTGTAGTGAGTACAAGCTATGTACAGGCTATGACCAGGATATAAATATGAAAAAAAAACTATGCAGAATATGAAATTTAAAAAAAGAAATCTGAGATATACAGTTATACAGAAATGTGAACTATGCAGGTTATAAACAGTTGTGGGATTAAAAATTATTGTATGTAGAGAATGATTATTTACACAGAGCTATACAGTAGCAGTTAAGATAAGTGAGATATGTGGATAATTTCTACAGAGGCTATATAAAGTGCTAGTGGTTGTGAGTGGTGGTTCAGTCCATGTTATTATTTTGTGTTTGAGGGTACAGTTGTCCATTGTGTGTGTGTGTAGGTGGTTGTGGGTGTGTGTATGTCCAGTCCATGAGTTTAACGTGGGTCAGATGTCAGGAGGCAGAGTTCAGGAGTCTGACATCTGTGGGGAAGAAGCTGTTCCGGTACCTGGTGGTCTTAGGCTCCTGTAGCGCCTCCCAGAGGGCAGGAGGGTGAAGAGTCCATGTGATGGGAGACTGGGGTCTTTGATGATTTTCCCAGCCCTTTTCAGACACCGCTTCCTGTAGATGTCCTTTATGGCAGGAAGTGGTGTTCCGGCAATGCTCTGGGCAGTCCACGATGAGTTCCTTAGTCTTCTCGGTGTTAAGCAGCAGGTTGTTTGTGTCGCACCACTCAAACAAGACAAGAAAATAAAAATGACAGTCCAAATCAAAAGTTCAAGAGAAATGCTAGTGTCCAAAGAAGATGATCTTTTGTGTGAGGTTATTGTCATAGTTACTCTCATACTCCTGCTCAAAATCATATTCATGTCTTTTGTCATAGTTGTCTAGCTTTTCCCAGTTTAGATTTTAATTTTAGTTTTGCCTCTGTTCATTTTTGCCTTTTGTTTTGTATTCATGTTTCTCGGTCAAGTCAACAGTACGTTGTTTGTTAAGATTAAATTCCGTGTCTGGGACTTCCGGTTGAGCTTTGATGGACTAGGACACGAGTTTGGGAACTCCCGTCAACTTTGATTAAATTGTTATTCATTCTTGCATAATCCTAGTCCTGTTTTAGTCTGTAGTTTGTTGTGTTGAGAAGTTTTACTTGGGCCTGCGTAAAATGGCAGCAAAAAATATTAAAACTCGCAGTACTATTCAAACATCACTAAGGTCTAGTTTGCAAACCACATCCACATCCTCGAGTGAGCCGTTGTCTCCTGTAAAGCCCCCCTTGTGCCAAGCTAATCCTGATATTGAAGCTCTCAAGGTCGAGTTGCTGGCTTCGCTGAGGAAAGATATCACCAATATTTTTTAAAAAGAACTTCAGGTTACTCTTGGTGATGCTTTGTCTACCATTAAGTTTTACCAGCAAGCACAGCTGGCAATCGATAAAACTTCTAATGACGCTACCGTGTCCAAGCTAAAAGGTACGGTCAGGGAGATGGAGCACGCGGTTACTGTTTGCTCTGATAATATAGCTGAGATGAAAAACACTATGAAGGGCCTCCCAGCTAACGTAGCCAAGCTGGAAAATAAATGTGAAGAGTTGGAGTCTAGGACGCAGTGTAACAATGTTAGGATAGTGGGAGTGCCGGAGGGCCCTGACACATGCACCAATGCTGCCGTAGCCTCCTTGCTAAAGGAAGCATTTGATCTGGGGAAGAAGGTACTTTTGGATCGGTCCCACAGGAACCTCCAACCCAGACCTAAGCCTGGCGACCGTCCACGAGCCATTGTATGCAGGCTTCATTACCACACTGACTGTGTTGACATTTTACGACATGCTAGAGAACGCCGACAGATTAAAGTTGGAGACCTGACCATCTCAGTCTTCCCCGACTATACTGCTATGGTAGCACGGGCTTGTGCTGCATTCAACACGGTCAGGCAGCAATTCCATGGCATTGAAGGTGTTCGGTATGGCCTGTTTCATCTAGTGCGACTTCTCATCACACATAAGGGTGTTGAGAAGGACTTTGTTTCAGCGGAGGAAGCCAGTAATTATGTCAAAACTTTGATCTCTGGGTGAGCTTCAATAGCCATTCAGTTTGGTACTGTAATGCTACTAAGGGTTTACGCTCTCGTTAGGTTTAACGCTTCCTGTGCATCATTTTTTTAGGGCGTTGCGCTAGTTATTGTACTGTTGGTCTGCTGTTTCATTTTATTTTCATTGTTATATAATGAGACTAAATCCTATGTTATACTCATGTACTTCGGATCAGTCCAGCACAATATTTTCTAAGCTTACTGCATTGATTTGCACAGGACTCGTTTTGTTTTGTTTTTTTATGCACTTCTGTTGTAGTTGTTTTTTGTTAAATGTTCAGCAACAACGGGGGTGTTTTGTTTTGTTTTGTACATGTTTATTGTTGTGCGCACACTGTTATACAGTAGGGAAGGTGGCGGGAGTGTTTTTCTCTCTTGTTTTTACTTTTATTCAGGCTCCAGTTAGTCCAGTCACTTTGGTGAATCATTTTTGCTACTTTGGGGTACACTGCTTTCTCCTTTGTTCTGTTCTGTGGAGACCTGTGTTAGGATGCCCGGGTCGTTGACCCAGGGTTTTTGAGTTTATTATATTATTTATAATTTCTAGTCTTTGGTTTCTTTGAGTTCTGTCTTATGGTTTATGTCTCTGTCTTCTCTAGTTGCTCTGTCTCCCCTGTCAGCTGTATCCCTTGTCTAGTTCATGTCTCTGTGTATCCTTAGTTGCTATATCCCCGTGTCCAGTCAGTGTCTGTGTCTGCCCTGGTCCCACGTCTCTGTTCCCTCTGTTGTAGTGCCTGCATGTGAGTCTGTGTCTTTTGTTCAGTCTGTGTTATGGGTTTCCTGTTTTACTTTGAAAGTCCATGTCTGATGTTAATGTGTCTGGTTTGCTTCCCCTTGTCTCGTTAGGCCTGATTTTCCCCAGCTGTGTTTCCCTCCTGTTACCCATTCCCTGATTGCTCCCTCTGTGTATTTAAGCCCTGTGTTTCTCTGTGTCTGTGTTGTGATCTACTGTTTACCTAGCTGTGTGTTCTGGCAGTCCTCTGGTTTAAGTTTATTTTGATTTTTTTTTCCCCCCCCAGTTATGTTATATTTTGAGGTTTACATTAAAGCTGTTTTGAGTTCACAACTGTCTCCGGAGTCTGCACCTTGGGTCCTATTCCTGTCTGCACACAGCCACACATAACAGAAGATCGCGACCAGAACATGGACCCCGCAGACTCTTTTTCCTCGGAGTACAACACTGAGATGGAGCGGATGGTGAG